CAACACTACTATTTGATGAATGCAATGATGACTTAGTAACTTTCATTGAATGTTTTTTAAGAATGACTAGTTCTCCATGCCAGGGACTGCACTAGGCACTAGAATACCCTTCCCAGTAGCCCCTTGGCTTGCTTCCTACCTCAAATGTCACTGTTTCATTAACAGTTTCATTGTATCCTTGACACTGTTGCATTGACTTCTTCCACCATCCATTTCCATCCCACTATCCCTCTCTGTTTTATTTTTCTCTAGTTACTTTTCAACATTTCATATGATATATAGACCTCTCTTATGTCTTTTCCCAAAAGAATCCCATGAGAGCAGGGATTTCTGTTTGATTTTGTGATGGAAAAATCCCAAGTGCCTTAAAATCTGCCTGGTACATGATAGGCACTATCCCTTATTTACTGTAATAATGAACAATTTTTCTGAGAAAAAGTTTCTAGAGCTTTTCTAATCATATTGCTTATTATAAAAAAACTGTCATCCTATTGTACCAAGGCCAAGGAATTTCGGGACAGGATATAACCTTTCCAGAGGCTGTCAATTTATATTTTTCTCCAAATTTGGTCCCCTATAGCCTCTTTAAAATAATACATAGAGATATAAACATAAAAACTTTGAGAACTTTATTTAAAAAGTACAATTATTTTCTAATCATAGTTTCTCAGAGGGATTTAACTCTGACATCCATTTATGTTTTCTTTGTTACTGAATTCCCAAGTTGGTTCCAGAACCTATAGATTTCAGTCGCTTCCTTTAATGTGGTTTAAGAACATCATGTTCTTTTAGGTTAACCACATTTAGTTTGAGCCACAGTCATAGAATAGTATTTATCACTGTAATTTTCAGCAAACATTGTGAAATTTCTAGAATCATGCAAAATTATGGTTTCAAAATAAATGTATTGGCATTGCCAGAAGGAAACTCTACAACCTTGTCCATGCCCGCTCTGTGGGCACAAACTCTTCCATTTGTTCATATATGTGCCCTCAATATGCAAGCAAGCCAGCCAGACTTCTTAACAATCATGGCAAACGTTATTATAACAAAAGAAACAGAAATGTAACAAGCTGCTGCATCATCTTTGGTTTGTTTGGGTTTTTTAAATAAGCGGAATATGAATATGTATTCATCCTTCTAGAACTGTTATTCTGCCAGCCACATAGCTTGATTTCCATGACATAGTTGAAGATTTTGAAAACATAACTGAGTTCTACTAAAATGTCAAAGAATTAATGGAAAAACTCTACTGATAATAAAAATGGGAAGTGCTAACATATTGCTGGGGATGAACTCAAAGTAAGATGCTAATCAGATTTTTTTAAACTTCCCAAAAGGAGACAGACTCATTGCAATGGACAGTGGTAAGGTAATACCACCAGTAGGCCCATCATTGTATATGCCAAAAGCAATAAAAATGTAAAGAAATTCTGTGAAAATGCACTTTGAACTTAGAGACTTCAAATGAAAACTTGCTCTGCTGGTTAGATTTAGAATGTGAACTTTGCAAGTATGAAGTTCATATGAGTAGATTTGTGTTGGGAGTAATTTTTGATTCATTTGAGAAGGAGTAAGAAAAGACTGCTTCAAGTCCACTTAGCCAGTACTCACTGGCTGCGGTAGCATGCCTCAAGCAAGGCGGGTAATATACAGTTAGTGCTGTCAAGGAGATTACACAGTAACTGGGAGATAAGATACACACATTACTACAAGGCAAAGTAGTGTGCTATGAATGCCAGAAAAAGAGACAGCAAAACTCCAAGGAAGCTTAAAGAGGCAGAAGCCAGATGATTTGTGGGAGAGGTTTTGTTATAGGCCTAAAAGATAGATTATTATAGCAGAAGATGGAGATGGCAAAGGCTTATAGTTGGGAGGATTTCTGTGGCCTATGAGACATACCACTAGTGTCTCCCCTATATGCTGGAACCCCATGCACACATCTATTGTAACATTTATTATAATTGATTATCATGATCTCTTTATTCTGCTCACTAGTCTAGTCTCCTGAAGGACAGTAAAATCCTCACTATTCTCAGATTCTGTATTTGTGAATTTGTATCCTTGCTAAAATTTGTTACCCTGGAATTAATACCTACAGCACTTGTGCTGTCATTCACAGTCACGTGCAGAGCAGCAAAAAGTTTGTCACCTTCTGCCCATGTTTCTAGCTGAAAGTGAACCAGGCTATGCTTTCCCTTCTTGTTTCAACTCTCACACTGTAAACAACTGTCCTCACAGGCTACTTAGTGCCATGTTTTTGCATTTTTGTGCTTTGAGCTGGTGATTTTGCTGTTTAAAATGGCCCCTACACATAGTGCCAAAGAGCTGTCTAGTCTATTGTTCCTAAGTGTGAGAAGGTTGTGATGTGCCTTACAAAGAAAATATGTGTTGCTAAGCTTCATTTGGATCTGAGCTGTTGAGTTATTGACCGTGGGTTCAATGTAAATAAATCAATAATATATATTAAATAAGGCATCTTTAAACAGAAACATGCATCAAACAAGGTTAATATTGATCAGTTGATGAAAATCTTCTGATCAGAGGTTTTCAAGATCAAAACTTTTTATTTCCTCCAGGAGCAATGGTTCAGCATTTACTAATTAAGTTTTCAGTGACTTTACAGAACATAACTACCCTGAGGAACAAGAATTGATTGTATCTGTTATTTCTGTATGCTTAGCACTTAGTGTTTAGTAGATGACCAAAGTTTTATGAGCAAATACCTGAAGATAGGGGATTGAGAGGAATAACCCACCTCATGGGGATGTTAAGTACTGAGTTCAGGAATTGAGCATGCAGCAATTCCCATGTAGACAATGTGAAGCCATAGAAACTTTTCTCCCAGAAGTGCTCTCTCTCTTGTGAACTGCTCAACAAGCACTGATTGCATGTGCTAGGTGGTGTGATGGGCAGAATGAATGTCCGTGGAGCCCTGTTCTCAAGGACCTAAGGTGGAATCGCTAAGAGGTCCTTCAGGGAGATTAATTTCACAGGAATTCACAGGATGGGTTTGAACTGAGATAAGTTCAAGATACAAAACCAAGTTATGCAACTACAGTAGCTTGATAGGAAGTGGTGCAGACCAGGATTAGGGTGCCAGCCAGAAGAGCAGGCAAGTAGGGGCAGACACTCTGTTACAGTGTACACATCGGCAGTAAGTGCTCTGGTAGAGAAAATGAGGGAGGTGAATGGAACAGAATTAAACTCTGAAGTTTGCTTTCCCTGACTTGTTCATTCCCATGATTGCAAATGTTCTTTAATAATATTTTCCTTATTTAGGCTTATTACTCTAGTCTGTGCTGAGTCTTTTAAGACATCAATAATGAGTCACAATCCTCATCCAGTTTAACTAAGCAGCTGATGAACTCCTTTGGGTTTGGGGCCAGGGTCGGGGACAACAGATCTAGTTTTATGATCAATAGTGAATTTTTATAGTTAATTGTGAAATTTTGCCCAGGGGAGTCCACTTTGAATTATCTCTATTTTTTAAACTGGAAATGTGTGCCATCCAAATGACTTCCACTCTAATGACAAATTATGTTCAGCCTTGTATAGTTAAATAATGGAAATTTTACTGCTACATTTGCAAGATGGCAGGGCAGACCTATAGTTTCATTGAGAAACTGCGTGTGAAAAAAAAACACAGAGATACGCAAGGATCAGCATTAATTATGTTTTCAGTGGCATATGTAAAGCAGTAAGCATTTTTAATGCTTGTAAGTAAATCCTTCATTGTGAAGTGCTCAGTGTCTGTCTTTACAGTTTCCATAAATTGAGAAATAAAACACTTTCTCTCAGCAGGGTATTGACAGAAAGCTTTAGCTTTGGAAAGGTATTTAGTTAAACTTTGTTTAAAATACTTTCTCAATGCACTTTTTCTTATTAAAAATCATTTTTAAAGGGACAGTTTATATCTTACTATAAGCTGTTTGCATTACCAATTGTTTTATAAAGTTATGCAAAAAACTGATATCTTACTTGGAGTCTTTGAAATAATACATTTTTTTCTCCTGGCAAACTCATCTCAGATAATCAAGAAATGTAATTATTTTTAATGTGAAATTTCAAGAAAGAATTTGAGTGGCATTTGAAGCTAGCAGTATTTATTCTACTTGTGGCTAAATACTACATGTGTTTAAGTTAATGCGAGATTAAACGTCAAAGGATTTTTTATGTTCTTTATCTTTTTTCATCTGCTTTGAGTTCAACATATCTTTCTGAACAAAGCCATGCTTGTGAAGGATACTCAGTTTTGTTTGCCCTTCTTCTCAACTGCAAGTACTCAGTGGACCTTAATGTGAGGTTACACTCCCTGGGCTGATTGATATATAAACAGAAGACAGATGGTGTAGAGATGGCTCTGATGATAATTCATTTTTCAGCTAGTCATGAAGATATTTTGATTACAGTGTGTTTAAGTAATTATAACACAGTCTGCTATGTCAGTCTTGCTGGGAAGGGAGCACATGGAAAACAAGTTACGTGTTATTCGTGCCCAACAAAGGATGCACTGTGGTGTAATGATTTTAATTCCTAATGCTAGATTAGGACTGGGGGAGTTTAAAGTATGTCATACAGTAAGGTAAGTCAATTAAACATAGAACAAATAAAAAAGGTAACTTCACAGTTGTGAGGCATAAATATTTGTTTTGGAAAGTATTTAGATGTTCTATGTGAAAGAAACCAGTATTTTTACATTTAGGTAACAGTTTGTGTACAGCTACTTAAAAAATAACTTGGCTTGATTTTAAGTGTATGGGGATTGTAATTATCAAGGAACTTGCTTTCTGTGTCATGAATTTAAAACTGAAATCAGAGAGCTGGCAATTCAACAGCATGTTATATCCCCACTGTTAATTGAAGTTTTGAAAAAAAAAAAACTCAAGCAAAATGTAAAAAGGAAAAAAATAATGAGAATTGTGTGGATAAGCTATTTAAGCATTTTCATTTTTACATGCTACTTACAGTTTATACCTCTTTCTTTGGTTTCACAATAGGATAATTGATCGCTTGGATGGGGTTCGTTTGTTATGGTCCCTGCTGAAAAATCCTCACCCAGATGTGAAGGCCAGTGCAGCTTGGGCCCTCTGTCCCTGCATCCAAAATGCCAAGGTGAGAATAGACTGCAAATCAACCCATTCTAGAATCTCTAATACTGTATTAAATAATGTCACCATGGGTCTGTAATTGCTTTTGACTTATATTTGACTTATTTGGGGTCAGATTTATCAGTTGTAAAAGTGCTGCACATTTTGTGCCAAAGTAATTTTTAAGCAATATCTTTTCCTGGTCAGTTTTTAAATGCAAGATGAAACCAGGCTAAGATGGCAGGGCTTACCAAGTCCTACCTGCCTGGTGCAGTTGCCGGAAGCACCCCTGGTTAGTCAAGGTGAAGAAAAGTTGACTGTTCTTATCTACTTTTGGAAGCAGAAGACTGTGACTACAAATAATCTTGTGTAATAAGTGAATAGTGAAGTATACTAATAGTAGAGGAGCCCCATTACAAACGGGTTAATAGAGCCCTTTTTTCATAAGCAAAAAATAAAAATAAAAACAAAAACATCTCACATGTCAACCTACAGGAAAAACCACAACAGGGTGATAGTAGAGTCTTACCCTATCATACAATGCAGCAGTGAAAAATGAATGTATTTCAATAATGTATTCATCAATATTGATACATCTCATAAACATATTAAGTATAATTAAAAACAAGTTTTAGAAATAGATTACTATAATTTCTATTATAAGATTCAAAGAAATTTTTTCATTGTAACATTTAAATGATATTATTTAGGAAGAAGCCTATTGGGGAAAGATCACACACTTCCTTGAAGGATGTATGTACCAGTAATTGAACTAATCAACCCAGTCTTTCAATCATAAATATGAACAACTAAGGATCACCAAATATTTAAGGAACATTACTAGTGCTAAAGACAAGCCAAGATTTATAAGCAAAACTAACTTCAGAGGAAATAGGGATAGTGAAAGGAACAGAATATAACCTGAAATTTTTAATATTTATATCCTCAGAATGACCCCAGGAGGAATAATAGGCCCAAAAAGGCTGTTACAGAAAAGAAATATTCATAGATTGAAAAAAGGGTTTTGGAAATTAAAAATATATGTGGCAAAACAGTAAATTTAATATAAGAGACAGATATTAGGGTGGGTATGACCATGTATTTATCTGGGAGATAGAGTCCAGGAAACTAAGAATGTAAAGTAGAAGTAGAAGAAAATAGGACAAGAAACACACAAAAAGAGAGCAACTGAAGGGAAGAAATGGGCATTTAAAAAAAAAAGAAGAGAGGGAAGTTTCTGTTATCTGAAGTGTTGAAGAAAGATTCTAGACTTCAGATTGAAAAGATCTACTTAGTGCCAAGCAGGAAAAACAAAGTCATCTACATATAAACACAAATTCAAAGTTAGTGTTTCCAGAAACTAAAGGAAAGAAAAAAATTACATGAGAACCAGGTCACACCATTTTAGACTTATTATCATTCACAATAAATTCTAAAGGAAAAACTGGAACAAATCCTTTACTGTCTGTAGAGGAGATATTTTTTATCCCAGCATTCTATATCCTGCAAAACTAACATTCAAGTGAGTGCAGAGTAAGAAAAGAACAAAGACATTTTTCTTTTAGAAAAGTCAGGACTCAGGAAGCTTTTCACCCATGAACCATTTCTGAAAAAAATTATTTTCCAGCAAAACAGAAGATTCTAAAAAAGAGAATAATATGACTTACAGAAATAATATTGAGCAAATGAATCATTAGAATTTATAGCTGAATATGAATTTGTGTTGATAATCTAGCTTTCAAATTTTATCAAATTATTAAGAAAGAATTTCCTTAAAAATAATGGGGTAAAATAAAAGCAGATGGTATTATCCCAGTAATGATCTGAATCTAAACTACCATATGAGTCAGAAAACATGTTAGGTTGTCGAAAGTAATAGTTAAAAACATACAAAGGTTTTACTTTCCCTAGAGAAGGATTTATAGATATTGGTTTAATTCTCAATCATTATGGAAAATATAAATTTAAATATAGGATTTAATATTATCTTTGGTGGGATACCACTTTGCATAGATAACATTTCTACTTAGTACTATTTATTATGTGTAAATTGTGTCCTTTATTCTCATGGATTTCAACTCCAAATCTGCCTATTTACCTATTACTAACTTTAAGTGTCACTCCAATGTTTTCATATTCATTATTCCTGCCCAAGATTTCTGCCCTGAATATCCATCCATCCAGCTGGTCTCCTGTGCTTGCCACCTAAACTGAACCACAATCAAACTTTAAACACAACCTACCCTGTCTATCTGCTAGCCCTTGGCCTCAAGGCCTGTACTAGATCCAAGCCTTCATGAAGTACACCTACTTGTTCCATTTCTCTTGAGCTTCTCCTGCCTTCTGCATGTTCTTCATTCCTACCAACTCTGTGTCTTGAATTCTTCTCAAGAAGAGGAAATGCCACACCCCTTCCTGTTACTCCTGAAGGAAAGACAGACTCGTGAATTTCTCTGCTTGTTCCCTTCTCTTACCAACTGCTCTCTCCTATATGCATCACCACTTAGGTGACAAACATTTGAAGGGTTTTAAACAAGGAAGAGAGATGAGCAGGTTGGCTAATTAGAAAATGTATGACTGGGTGATTAATGAAGCTATTACAGTGATTCAGATCAAAATAATTAGAATGTGCCCTAACACAGTGGCAGTGTGGTCAGAGAGGAAGTCACTACAAGAAATAACTGGGAAGTAGAATCATAAATCGGTGCATGACTGGATGTTGGCTTGTGAAGAAGAGGTCAAGAGAGATTGAATTTTTGTTTTTGTTTTGTATTTTAACTTTGTCAAATGAGAACTAGTAAGTTGATGAAACATGGAGAGAACAGGACTCTGGGAAAGATGGATTTGTTTTCATCCAAGTAGAGATATACAGTTATTTGAACATACAAATCTGGGTGTCAGTATTGAATTCTGGCCTGGAGAAGTATGTGTGGGAATCATCAGCATGTGGAAGTAGCTGAAGTCTTGAGGTTAGATGAAAGGCAGAGGGAGTGGAGTGAGAGGAGAAGGCCAGTGAGGAACACTAGGGAGTGATGAGAGAGTCAGCAGAGGGTGATTTCTTCAGAGCCAAGAAAGGAAGGAGAGTGCTCAACAGTGTATAACTTGCTGCCAAGAGGTCAATTACCTTAAAAACTGAAGAGTACATTAAATATGGAAATTAGGTGGTCATTGGTCATAGACATTTCACTTGAAAGGTGAGAGCTGAAATCAGATGGCACTTGGGTAAGGAATGAATTAAAGAGAGAAAATAGATATAAAGAGGATTAAAAATTCTTCCTAGAAGCTTAGCTGTTAAGTGACAACGTGAAATTTGGAAGACAGCTCAGTTTTAGGAAATGATTAACATGGGAAAGGCATGACAGAGAGGGAGAGGGTTTGTAGAGCAAGGAAGGAAGGAAAGGAGGGGGGAAAGGGAAGGAAGGAGGTAGGAAGGAGGGAAGCAGAGTTCTCCCTGCTCCTTAATCTTAGAAGCATCTTTGCTCTAAATTGTGTAAAAGTCTGTTGTGCCAAGCAAAAGGACTGTTCTAGAATGCATAGTTCCTAAGGGTGAGTCCAGTGAGAGCTAAGTAATTAAAGGACATCTAAGATATATAAATAACAGGGAGTTGTTTTAGTCAGGTGGCTGCTGCAGAGTTGTAAACCTTAAGATTTATATAAATATGCATATTGTTACATGTTCAATGTGCAAATTTTAGGAAGTAACAAAAGGACTTTGAGTTTTTTTTAACCACAATTGAAATAAAAATTAATTAAAACTAAGTAAATGAAAAAATGTACCAGTCATTTCAGCACTTGGAGATAAGCATTATTGAGTTAATAGGCTGTTTTTCCTTAAAGATGAATTGAGACTCTGATTCTCTTCATATGTTTTTCTCTACCCCTGTCTAATTTTCTTGGCTGTACAGTATTTTATTGTATGACTGTATCATAATTTATTTACCCAATTAAATTTCCAGTGTTAAAGAAGAAAGAGGTTAGTGAAACAAAAATTTATTTGAGCTTTTCTAAAAGAGAAAATAAAGTTACTTCTGACATACTGGTAGAAATTCAAGCATAGTTTCCAAGGGATGTGTTTTATAATTGACATTTTGTCATAGGTTAAAGGGCAGTGTTTTTCCTGGTGGTACCTAAAATAATAGCGCATTTTACAAACTGCCTTTCAGATTAGGCTGAAGTAATAGGGGTAAATACTTGTAAATGTCTTTATGCATGGAGATTATGTGTGCTTGAAACTTTTTGGGGTCTCATGTGTCTTAAATCACTACCCAAAAGTTATCCTACTTGATTATATTCAATGTAGCATTTTCAAGTAGCATTTTGTATATTCTATTACTTTTAGGAAAATTGAAATTATTTCCTAATAAGATTATACATTCTGAGGGAGAATAGAGCAGGAAATGTTTTTGTATATGTTGGGCTTCCAGGTTGCAGTAAAATAATGAAATCAGCAGAGATCTTGCCAGGTATTTTGGCCCACTCTTCCCATCTCCTCCCCACCCACCCCATTCAGGTAAGTTAATTACTCAGCTTTCTAGGAAAGATTACCTTTAATTTTGTAAAGAAAACATTTCCACATTTTTTTCACATAAGATGCTTTTGCGAGTCATTTTAGTGAAATTTGGAAGACAGCTCAGTTTTAGGAAATGATTAACATGGGAAAGGCATGACAGAGAGGGAGAGGGTTTGTAGAGCAAGGAAGGAAGGAAAGGAGGGGGGAAAGGGAAGGAAGGAGGTAGGAAGGAGGGAAGCAGAGTTCTCCCTGCTCCTTAATCTTAGAAGCATCTTTGCTCTAAATTGTGTAAAAGTCTGTTGTGCCAAGCAAAAGGACTGTTCTAGAATGCATAGTTCCTAAGGGTGAGTCCAGTGAGAGCTAAGTAATTAAAGGACATCTAAGATATATAAATAACAGGGAGTTGTTTTAGTCAGGTGGCTGCTGCAGAGTTGTAAACCTTAAGATTTATATAAATATGCATATTGTTACATGTTCAATGTGCAAATTTTAGGAAGTAACAAAAGGACTTTGAG